AGACAAACTTTTCTGCATCCCGGGAAGCAATCTTGCGCAATGGGGATCGAACGCCCAGACTCGAGCTCTGTAAGTTCATCAGTCTCTAAGGCCCGCTGATCTGATGACAGACAAGGCACTTAGTGTTATATACTGCAGCCATGCATACTGAAAAGCCGAACTTTTCGACAAGTTTCAGCTGGGTGACAATATGCTTGGGGCGCTCTTGCGGCCCAGTTCGAGACTTCTCGCCGGTATTGTGAGTAGAACCTCGCGCCTCAGCACACAAAATCCATCCTACTATGCAATGCATTTTCCACGGTCCCCAATCCCGTCCAATCTCCACCATTCGTCGTTTCATCGCTTCACAAACAGCCTTCTCCCAAAGCGTCTGAGATTGGGACCCACAACCCACGCTGTGCGCTCGTTTCTCGAACGAGTTTGTGTGCGACTTGCGTCACGCACACACCTCTCGCGCCAAAACTGACGCCATTTGGCGCCAACACACCGCGGCGGGTAATGGAGCCATCAGTGTTGACAAATTATAGTGCGTGCGCTGACTCAAATTGGGTGCGTTGTGGATAAGACGACAAACGGTCGGTGATACCCGTGTGGCCTACACACAGTGGGGAGAGTGAGAGAGAGGAGAGAGGATAGAGAGAGAGAGAGAGAGAGAGAAGAGAGAGAGAGAGAGAGAGAGAGAGAGAGAGAGAGAGAGAGAGAGAGAGAGAGAGAGAGAGAGAGAAGAGGGGATAGAGAGAGAGAGAGAGGGGAGAGGGAGAGGGAGAGGGAGAGAAAAGGAAAGAGAGGGAGAAGGAAATGGAGACGGACGGCAACAGAGACGGCAACAGAGAATCCAACAGTGACAGAGACAGAGACTAAGATAGAATGACTATTGACATGAGAGTATTTTGTGCCGAGGAAACGGCAGCCTCTGCAATCTGCATATGCGTAGATATACACGTTCAAATAGCTATAGCTAATGCAACATGTTTATGCGTCGCGAATATGGTGTGCCATATTGCAAGGAACCGTTCCATAGCTCAATCCCAAACTCGTGTAGCGTAGCACGCACTGACAAAGACGCTGGGTCGATGCCAGAAAAGAAGCAATGTAACGCCGGATTACTACGTGCGTGACCAACTACATGGATCGATGCTCACATGTTACAAGCTCGTAAATACAGATGCGTTGTTCCAAGAAGCGAGTAGAAAGCTCCCCTCCGTAACTGCAGCCTAAATACAGTCATCACCACGCATAGCTGATGCGCCATGTTCTAACCGAACATCAGCTGATACCACTGACGCCAGGCCCGCATCTGATATAGTTACACTATTCCTGCTATTTGATTCCTCTTCTATCCGTACAGACAAAACTCCCTCGCAAGGAGACGACCCACCTTCTTAGTCTTCGCCTAAGGCTTAGTCTTCCACTAAGGTCAGAGGTCACAATTAATCGGTGCACACCCCTCTGCGTGGATGGTTCTGTGACACGCATGGGGTCAAAGGTCAGGCGGTCATTTCGCCGCGGGCGTGTTGACACCACTCAACCCCTAGCGTAAACCTTGTTTGAAGTAGTAAAAGTCATCCCATCGGATATTACGAGCGCACAGGCCTCCCAGACGAAGGCTCAAGACGGAGCAGAAATCCCGATGGTGGTGTTGAATTGTACTATCTTAACCCTCGCCGGCACAGGCCATTTTGAGTCCTTCGACGGCACAAGGGGGGGGGGGGGGTTGGTACGACCCCCCCCCTCGCGTTTGGCCCCTGATCGAGCTAGAGCTTCGCGGAAAAAACGAGCGTGTTGCCCGTCATGAGAGGAAGCCGATGATACCCAATTTTAAGGTCCTAGATCATCGGGTGACCTTCCAGGTCAGGTCAATGACCCGAAAACCGGGAAAATCGGGACCTGTTAGAAAGTCGTAAAGTGTGGCTGTTATGTGGTTTTCCGGGGTGCTGATCACGAATATCGTGTTAGTTTTGATCATAGATGATGTCTTTAAGCATTTAGACCAGGTCGGGTCAGGTCAGGTCAGGTCAACCGGTAGGGGTTGTGACGGGTATTCGTAATACGTGTCAACCGCCTCGGACAGCTTCGTAACATGTTACGAAGGCACCAAAACTACTTCGTAAATGTTCAAATGGTTGCTAAATTCGAATTCAGCTAAAAAACTAGCCTAGAAACATGTAAAACTCGACAAAGTGAACCGAGGTCACCCGAGGTCACCAAAGGTCAATGACCTGACCTGACCTTCAGGTGACCTTGACACCCACCCTAATGCATGGGAGCAACATCAAATCACATGTTTGAACGTTTGAAACCACGAAAAGCTTGCAAACGCGCGGCTAATGCGAGCCGACACGCGCCGAACCGCGATTTCGGCCAAACATGGTCACAGAAAAGAGGTCACAGGTCAAAGGTCATTGGGGTCAGGGTCATGAAATTTTCAGGGTAGGTGTAAAATTGATCAATGCGAGGGTACTGAAAGTTTCGTCGCGATCGGCCGCTTTTTACGCGAGTTATTCGCGAAAAACCTTAGGGGGGGGGTGCATCAACCCCCCCCCTGTGCCGGCGAGGGTTAAATGGGCGCTTGGTAATAAATTCGTTTATGATTTCACTGGTATCTTCAACCGATAAGCTATATGGAAGTACTATAACTAATAAGTATATAAAAAACAAAGCATTTTCGAGGGATAATTGATTTTCTCTTTTCATAAAAACACTCCTGATCTGAGGTGGATTTCCTAACAGGAAAATTGTTGGCTATGATATCTTTTTTGTTGTCAAAAGTCACTCCCGAATTTCGCCAGCCACGCGAAAAAAAAATGGCCGCCGATGTGAAAGAATAATATCAGCGGGCTAAACTCATATGTATTGACATCAGCGGCTTTTTTTCGCATGGCTGATTAAACTTGTGGGAGACTTCAGGAGATAAAATCTCCGACAGATAGCGACATCCCGTTGGAAAATTGACCTATGGTGTGTTAATTCTGCATCAACACGTGAGTGTTCAATCATGCATGGACACGTACATTTCACAGTGAACACATTTAAACTTTAATTTCTTGAAGCTGTCTCTTCGGAGCAGCGCTGTATCGTTGCGTCAAGCCTCAAGTACGAATCTATTTCCGATCTTAGACAAAGACCGTGTCCGCCCCTAGAGAGCCATGACACAAAATTGAGAACACCGGACTCACGACAGGCGTGGAAGTGCACTGTGTGACATTTTTGGACACAACTGCGTCCGCAAACGCAATCTAGCGAGGCGAAAGACGTTTGCAGTATTTAACAAGGGACAACGCAATTTTCGTTCCCGAAATAGATACGCGGGCGGTATGTTGCACCGGGAATAGCTCGCTGAATTCGTATTTGCACCTGTCGCAGGCAAACATCGTTTTCTGGTGTAAATTGCTCTTGAAGGTGCAGATGATGTAGGGGTTTGTTTGATGTAGGGATTGCATTGGATGGGCATGATCGAAATGTATTATAAGCTAGATAAAGATTAGAGTCAAGCGGCTGATTAAAACGTATTCAATGCGCATGTCTTGCATGCTTGCAAAGCCATGATTGTATAACATACGTTCTTTGGTGACTCAAAATGTTCCAAACACCTCAACCAAGTGTTATGTTGGCGCATATGGCTGGCTCGGGCCCCTTCCTTCCTTGTTGACTTCACCTAAAGCCAAATGAATTTCCCCACCTAAATGAGTGATCGATATCCGCAGGGAGTTACGATAGCACGTCTTCAGCATCAGGGTAGTTTGTGATCATTAAAGGATAATGCAACGAAAGAGGTGGCTGATGATGAAATATGAAGAATGCTGAAATACATAGAAAATGGCATACAAAAACGTGAAGGCAAGCATAATAATGGCGCGAGTATGAATGAGGTCAAGTTAATGCCGTATTACCGTAACAAACCTATGTATGTGAAAACACCACAACTACGTATCGATGTCCCTTTTTATCAAATGTGTTTCACACTCCAATTTATTTGTTGTATGCTCGGTCATAGCGACGTAAAAATTACCAGACAAACCCAGTGACGTCTCAGCCTAGCATCTCTATCAACCCCTCCGTCGTAAGCATGCACTGAACATTCAGCTAGACCCCTCTCAGATGGATTGGGGTCGCCAAAATAGACCACTATAGGCCCTTGAACTGAGTGCACAGGACAAGCGTCTGAACGGGCGCCTGCGTAGTTTGCAATGCAAAGCAGACTGGCACCAAAATAGACCAGAGCGTGCACGCAAGCGTAAAACAAAGTAGAAAACTTGGCACAGAATAGCTAAAATTAGTAGATGGGACAAAAGCAGAGAACGGCTGAAGTAGAGCACAATCATGAAAATGAGGGTAGCGGAATGGCTCGTCCTACGGACCACACCAAAATAGACGTAGATATGGGGTCTAAAATAGAAATGAACAAGCCCCCACAATGCTAAAACCTCAGACCGTTTTAGAGTGAAGCCTAATTCAGAATGTTACAGGCACCTACCAGTTTTATTTTCAAAAGCACCAGCCACAAATAGGTTGGGTCGAGGCTAATGAGTCTCTAAATCACATTACTACAGCGCTCACTAAAGGGCTTTAGAGTTTCTGATGATAAAATAAATATCAAATTTTTAAATATTATGAAAAGTCCTACTCACAGTAGAAGCACTACTGAGTAGCAATTCATAATCACCTTACCATCAGTGGATTAATATTCCCAGAAATACCTACACTGCACCGTAAATTGGTTTTCCAGGAAAACGGGGTAAGTCATGAGGGGAGGTGAGATTACTCGCCAGCATATCGAAGGGGGTATACCGTACATATAGGTTGCATTAATCCATATCCATGTAACATGACAATGTGCGAATTGAGCAAACTAACCATTTACTAGACATACTAAATGTCGATCAATTAAAAATAAAGTTATTGATAAAGACGCGCACCTTCCTTTTCACTTTACTAGCCCTATAGACCATATGACGATCTATTCAAAGCTTCATTTGAAATAAAATACACATTTAGCTTACCTTTCTTGTCGACGCCATCATCCTGCGAGTCTGGGTCGCCGTCCCCTGCTCCGGGCACGACGATGGCGGGCAGCGTCCGTGAACGCACCAACTGAGGTCGTGAGGTGGCCGGGAGACCGGACTCGGTCACTTGGCTGCGAACGAGAGGGGCGGGGGTTAAAACGGGGGTACACGTAAGGGTTAAACGGGGGTTAACGTAGGGGTTGAACAGGGGTAAACGTAGGGGTAAAATGGGGGTAAACGTAGGGGTTAAACAGGGGGTAAACGTAGGGGTTAAACTTGGGTTGATGTAGGCCAGAGGTGGGTCGACAAAGGGACCAGACATCGGGTCAATATCGGGTCAAGTTTGGGTCAATATTGACACCAAATCTGGTTTAAACAGGGAACAGACAGCGGTCAGCACAATAGACAGCTTGGGATCAAATGGCAAATGGTAATCATTCACCGTAGACTGCCAATATTAATTTGCTGAAACATGATAAAGCTCTCAACCAATAGCCACCGGTAAAATATTCAAGAAAAACTCACGCATATCTTAGTTTGAATAATGCAAAGTATAACAAGCCATGTAGAACAACGCGCATATCACAACACGGATGCCCAAGTCAATGCGTCGTTTCGATTTATGAGAAATGATCCGATAGCCACTACACTACATGACGCGACTGGCGTAATGCATCGATGACGCCACTGGATATTAATGTCAATGGACGGCGTCAATTTTCAGAATCAGATTCCGGCACTGATTTATAGTGGTATTGATTTTATAGTACGCCGAAGAGCTAAAACTAATGTGCGCCAGTTATGCACATCTTCATTTGTCGCTTTATCAAGACCTTTTCATTGAAAAGGATATGAATATAAAACACGCTAGAAAACAATGAATTTAATCTAATCCATATCATTATATCGTCGGACGAAATTTCAGTAAGAACACTTGCAACACATAACTTTGAATGGCTGCGCAGCTATTCGACTTTTGAAGACCGATTAAACACTCGCACATCATATGCCGTGAACAAGAGCCAATGCAGTCATGGGTGGAGAACCTGCCCCGGCCACCCCGGCCGTGGCCGGGGTAACTTTCAGCCTACCCCGGCGCGGCCGGGGTAACTTTTCTACTCTTGTAAATCTTAAAAGCTGTCTCCATACGAGAAAAGAAAACTCACGCTCTTCGAATGTTGACTTCCATGGGCGTAATATTGCAAATCAGGTAGGTATTTACCATTTACTTAACTTGCCATAGTCTCCAACCCTAAGACCCGCGTGTGGTGGCCAATGCCAAGATTGCTCTCAAATCCTGTTCAGTTTCGAAATTTTTACGCGCCTTCGGCGCACTTTTTCAAAGCCACTGCTTGACCTCATTGCCTTCGACTGGCCTGCCACCAACCGCAACCACACCCGTTTATGAGCTTACCCGTCAGGGTGCTCATAAACACCGAGCGGCCATCATGCTTCGAACTCGGACTGTTGTAACCGGGACGCGTGCTCTCGCCACGCGGAGTCCAACGCTCTAGCGACTGAGCTACGTGACCGGGACAGGTCGATATTTCTGGATCGACTCCCTTTTTGTCTTATAAGAGCCGCCCAACATTGAAAAAGGCTGCGTCCGTGGATGTCAGTGACCTATTTTAGTGCTTTGTTTGGTTCGATCTGTCAGTTTCTCTGTAAAGCTTCTACTGTGGTGAGTTGTCTTTTTGTAGCTATTTTGAGACACAATAAAAAGCTGAAAACGCAACATTTAGGTACTCAAAATGGCATATGGTTTGGTTTGGGTTTGGTGTGAAATTGCAAGTTTAAGTAAAAAGAAATAATAACTTAAAAGGAAATTGCCTTTTCGATCATTCCAAAAATGTTATGAATAATACGGTGTCGGATACAACGCTCATCCTTGAGCAAGCACAGCATCCTATTCCATGCGTCAGAATAGGGGTTTGATGATGACCGTTCAGAACAACGTGCGTATATCGTCTTCCCGCGACTATCGGTCGCCGGCCGGGGTAACTTTTTCAAACATTCTCCACCCATGAATGCAGTCACGCGTTAAACGTCCGTTTCTGCCCCACGACTCACGAAATACAAACACGTTCAGCACCCTTTCTACAGAGACCGCCAATCAATGGTCTTCTCAGCCGTGACATTGACCTTATCATCGATCTGCTAGGCCGGCTTTTGAGAGCCAACATCGCCCCATTACATTTCACAGCACGAGTCCGATTTCCGAAAGCCATCGACTTTTAGCCCCAGCGACATATCCCTCAATGGAAAATGGACATCCAAGTTGTCCGGCTCAGTAAAGCTCAGCTTTAACATGGAGAAACGGCTGGAGGTGACGCTGCATTCGTCTTGGAAAAGTCCTAAAAGCGTCCAAGTGACCTTTGAAAAGGCGTGCGAAGTGAAAATTGGCCATCGGGACCGGATTATCATGGCCGGAAACTCATATCAACTGGCTGTTAGTGCTCCGTTTATAGTGCGACATAGGTTGGTGATAGGCAGTTGGTCTGCGGAAAGCTTTCAACTGAATAGCATGCATGACTGATGCCATGCGTACTAGTGCAGAAAGCTTATGCAGGTGCATAAAGCTAAATATGATTCAGGTCCGTCGTCCAACTGCAACAATCATTTACAAAGTGACGTTTATAAAAAAAACAATACACATAGCAATAGTTTTTACAACCGTCAGATCACAAGGCTCAAGCCGAATCTATATAGAATAATTCATGATGCTTGCAGACAGAAACCATTTCAATTCGGATAAAAAATGTCTTTCTGGCATCGTAGAGCAGCTCATGGGATTTCATTATGCATGATTTATTCCTGTCTGTCAACATCTCCGAATCAACATCGATCTTCACTTTGTGTTCATCTATAGACCAGAGAGAAACAGACAAAAGGAGAGATGGGAGAGAGAGAGAGAGAGAGAGAGAGAGAGAGAGAGAGAGAGCGAGAGAGAGAGAGAGAGAGAGAGAGAGAGAGAGAGAGAGAGAGAGAGAGAGAGAGAGAGAGGAGAGAGAAACTTCAGCGACTGGAATTCAAATAATCGATATTGCTCTTTATATCTGTCCTTGGGACGAGCCGGTTCCCGTCAGAGTCATGAACACGAAATGAGGCGCAATTTCCACCGTCGTCAATGACTGCCAGTGCCATTCGACGGCGAATTTATTTGTTATGTGACGTCATCCAAGCAGTATTTAACCGGAAGTCTCTCAAGGCAAACATACAATTTATTTTACACGGATTTGAGTTTTATTTTGAGGATTGGCGAATACTGTTTTGGTGTTGAACTGCTAGGTAAAGAAATATTCTTTTTGTTTATTCAGCAAACCTACTAACAGCAATCAAATAGCATATTTTGTTAGGGCAGCATCATCTGAGCCAAGTTTTGGTCGGCAATGGCGGTTCCCCCTAGGCCAAACCATTTTGACTCCTAAATATTACACCGGTCATAATATTATATGTAAATAAATGGTGCATGTCAAACTTACATCAAACCATTTGACAAATAACTTGCAAAAAAAACGACGCGATGAAGTACTTCCACAAATGAATACTTAATAATGAAAAGTACTCACGCAAAGACGCCGACAGACCACATTGGAAGACCGACAACGAGTCAACAACTTTAGGGTTCAGTTAACAAATTACAGCCCCGGAACTGGCGACAGGCCACAAATGCTGTTTACAGAACATCCAAGGGTGCGTTCGGAGAGCGCGGAATATTCCCCGTCATCGTGAAAATTCCCCGTGTTGCGTTCGGAGAGGGACATTCCATACCGCCAATTTCAAGGATCGCCGCTACTGCGCCAGGTTGAGTTCGTAGGATTTTGTTTGGGTTATTTGGGTTATTTGGTTATTTGGAACGCTACATCTATGGCAAGATGTAATAAGAATGAAGCTCTTGAAGAAAGAACAACTAAGAAAAATCACAATTATTTTCAAAAAGTCCCGTACTGTGCCCCCCCCCCCACCCCACCCCAAACACACACAACACAACACTTCAAATTATCGTTTTCATTGCTTCAGAGGACAATCACACAACTGAGTAAGCATTATCAATTGTTGGATTTGCAATAAAACTGATCAGGGTGGAAACAAACGCAAGAAATATCCATTTATATTCAATAATATACTCACTTGAGCATACCGATGGGCGCCGCCATCTTGACGGGAACGACGCGTGAGATGCTTTTTAGATTCCGCGCTTTCCGCGTCCGTTCCGCGGAACTTTCCCCGGGAATCGCTCTCCGAACGGCACATTCGGCGGAAATTTCATGCCGGCGTGAAATATTCCCCGGGAATCTGCCTCTCCGAACGCACCCCCAGTAGTATATATTTCCGTGCGTCGAGGAATGTTGTTATTTGTCGGATATATGTATTGCAATGATATTATAGTGGTAAATTGGATCTATAATAATCGTAATGGAAGCTGAATAAGTTTATAGCCTAATTATGTGTGTGCACTGTTTCAACAGTTTGCAAGATTCAACAGTTTGTGTTTATCATCGTGAACTATTTTTAGAAACAAACAAGAAATGCTGATACATTAACGATTTTAGCTAACAAACCCTGCTCGCATTTTTGATCCGGTCAAGAGCAATTAACTCAAAGACTAACGCAGGAATAAAAAAACATACATAAACAGCTAAAATTCATCGTTCTTATTTACTTCTTCACCGGCTACAAAACGGCATCCAACCACCCGATTCGGACAAAAACTGGCGTTTATTTTCAGCCAGAAATAGGGCTACGGACTAAATCACGCCCACACACGCAGTGTCGGAATCGGAGCACCACAATCACTCTCCATAGTTCGGGCAAACAGAGGCCCTTCCCTCCACGCTAGCTGTCCAAACAGCAATTCAGCAGGCCACAAAAATCGATGGTTTTATTCTGCCTGGTGCTCCCTTTGACGTTGCCCAAGACCAAGTGCCGAGGAACTGATTTAGCTTTGTAGCTTTTGTGTTTGAAATAAGTTAGCTTTACTTTTTTCATTTTTTTTGCGAGCGATAAAATCAAAACAGAATGAATAGTGTACGTCCGGTATGCAATTTCATTTCAAAATATTCTATTAATTGTTATGTATAATTTAGTGCTAAGCAAGCGACTTGGTGCACATAATAAAAAAGCATAAAGTGAAAATTTACATAATGTATCAGAAATGGTTTTGTAAAAAGGATCATTATTCGTTTTGCAATAAAAAGAAACCAATAAAATACATCGTCAAAGCTTACCCCTGCATTCCATCGATAGGAACGCAAAAACACATACTACCTCGATTCACAGGCGACCATCGCTTACCAGTTGGGTTTCCGCTGCTTGCTCCTGCGCCGTTTGAACACCTTCCTCATGCGCTCCAGGCGGAGCAGAAGAAAGGCGGCAGCATGGAAGGACAGCTTCGGTTCCGGGCGATTCATTTCAACGACCAGAACCCCTCCGAGCATCGGATCCACGGGCAGTGGACATCAAACACGCCGCAAAACGACACTCCGCCGCGGGGCACACGCGGTCAAGGTCAACGTTCAAGGTCAGCGCCCTTCAAGGTTGACGCTTCCAAAGTCAACATTCTTTCATTTTGTTGGTCTGAGATCTGATAGTCGGTCTTGTGACAGGACCCAGGTTTAAGTGCTGGTCAAGAGAAGATTGAGATCAACTGCTTGCAGTTACGCACGGCACAGCACTGCGAAAAGCGGAACCCGCTGCTCTTCTGAACAGGCAGTTTTTTAATATTCTTCAATTAATATTTTCTTGCCAGCAAAGAACCAGCAGACGCTGATCTTTCTTCGCGAGCTTGTCAATACGACACTTTTGCGTTTTCTCTCAAGAGCACGCCAACGCTATGAAGCGACCTTTCGCACCAGCACGCATCGTCTGCTTTCGCACCGACCTTCACCGAACCTGTTCCGTCTTCGTCGTCCTTCTCGGAAGCTGCGTTCGCTGACGTAGTCCCTGGTTTTCGGAACCCAGGTGTCTCTTATCCGCCACGGCCCGCAGAAGTTTGTCAGGACGCAAAGTTCTCCGTATAGCCGGTAAAGATGTGTAAGCACACCCTGATGTACGCAGGTAAACAATGTCTCACGCAGTCAGCAGTCAGTCAGCGTTCAGCGAAAAGTGACTGTCGAGATATTCGGGGATTTCTAGTTAGGGACTGCAGAATGCCCGAGATTCAGTTATCCGAGATGAATAATTTTCCGCACATATAGGTGGATGATAGCTAAATGTTTTTGAAGGAAGGTAAGTTTGATTTACGAGGAAAGCGGAAAAACTTCACTGAGATCACGAAAACGTCGTTCGCTTGACTCCGGAGAAGATCAAATGTCACTCTTGACCTCAAAACGCCACTGACTGTGATCCGTACGCCACACTTTGCGCTAATTCGTCCACATAGACATCACAATGCCTCACTTTTCACCAAACACCACTTCAACCATCACCACTCCACCATAAAGACACTCCTCTACTACTAACACGCTTCGCTGCTTATCATCACCAGTGTAAAAGTCACTGAAGGGTCACCGAACTTTTCCGCCACCTCATCAAACTCAACGCCGACCGACACACATCGTCGGGACCGATGCGAACCCGTCCAGCCCCGACGGAGCTCTGCAGTGGCCAGCGTCGCTGGCGACGACTCTCGTCGCAACCGACGGAGGCCGGCGTCGGTCGGGTCAAACGCCCCAGGCACCGTCGCGAGGCAGCGACCGGCCGCCGACAGTCACGGCAGGTGACATTGACTTTGACCTCAAGTTCGGGAGGAATGGGTCGGTTGACACGATGAGTTTGCATGGAGTTGAGATCGAGCTGTCATGTGGACCGAGGAGCCCCTCGTTTTGGTCTGAGAGGGTACGACTTTGGGAGTGTCGTTGTGGTCAACGAGTTCCACACAACATGAAAACGATTTATGGAGATGTTCCTCGGTCTAGGAACAGGCTGATGCTTTCTGATGAGTTAAGGTCGTGGGTGGTTTTATAGACTTTTAACCGAGTCAGCTTGTACTGATAAGGGGTTGATGATATGCATTATGGACCGCCCCGAGCTTTTATATCAATATGCATACGTCATTGAGATCTCAACAGCTTTGGAATAGATTAATCTGTACTTACTGTAGGTTTTGAGTAGAGGGCCTTGGTTTTGAGCACAAAAGACAAGAATGCAAATAACTTTATGCTACTTGCAGCATCTCGAAAAAAATATCTTCAATCGATCAATTCTTATAAAAAATAGTTAACAGCACTTTGCAAGCTTACCAACCATTAATTTCATTCGAGTAAAAATAACTTAAACAATAAAAAGGTATAAAGGTTAATGCTCTTCCAATGATAAAAGGCTTTCCAATAGTGGGCGAATGGCGCTGCGGCTAACAACGTCAGGACTTGCAGAGTGCACCATTCTTCAAGCATTATTAGACGAATAAAGAAACCAACTTAACTTAAATAAACCTTCTTGAGGCAGAGAGAAGGTATATGGTGAGGCGACAAAGAATAAAAGCAAGGAAATAGGCTAACAGTGACTGACTTCAATAGAGGCTGAGCGTACTCTTTACGTCTCGGAGTGTAAAGAGTACGCGCCAGTGAGCAAGCGAGTGAAAGACTTTCCGCCTCCGTCTCTCTGTCTCTACCTCTTCCTCTTCCTCATCCGCTTCGTATATATATATATACATATATATATATATATATATTTCTCTCTAGTTACCGAATCAGGTGAGCGCTATCACATACCATACATAGCCACTAGTCTGAGTGACCAGGGCAGGCAGGGAACACAGCCGCAACTAATTCAATTAAGGTGATCCTGCGCAGACCCCTGCCGACCTGACACTGATAGCTGCCACGTGACTGTTGCCACGTTGCGGGCCATAGGTCACGTGATAACGTTCACGTGGGCAGCGCATGACCGTAAGTAGAGGAAATGGCGGGCTGCGCACTATGGAAAATGTTGCATGAAATTTTGTTGTGTTAAATAGGTACAAATATTTGTATACCTCAGGCAAGAATTTAGTATTCACAGTAGATCCGATGGGTGAAACCAGCTACTGGCCAATAAGGAACTTTGATTTTAGGTGGATCAGTCCCGTATAGGTACATGAGGAACAACAAAATAACAACTACACACATCACACTGTAAACATAAAATAAGTTATTGCGGTTAACAGTTTCCAACAACTGCTTTCCACAAACAGACAAGATAGAAGGCTTAAAAGACAGCCTTTCTACTTCCCTTGCAACCGATATAACACATATATTCCCAAGTCTGACCCAAGTTACTCCGAAGTCTGCCCAATGTCCTTTTCACTTACCATGAGACGAGCTTGGCGAAACACTGCATTTCGACGTTATTTGATGACGGACAATCACTTCCAGCCTTTGCTTGTAGTTAACACAAATTGATCACCGCATTTGCAGACACTTGCTTTTCACTTCAAAGGAGTTCTTGGAAAGAGGAGGATTATGTGAACTCACAGGTGTAGTCTGGTCATAGCTTAGGCGAGAATAGAGGATCGATCAGATGAAAGCTGACGGAGACATTACTGTCCTTTAGCTTTGTTGTTTCAGACGAACATATACAACCTTGGCAAACTTGGCAGGGAAGATGAGGTAGAAGCTGAGTTACGGGTTATTGTCGGCCATTCTTTTTACGATAAACAGTTTCACTTTACATACTTAACATGGTTTATAGGTGACCTGCTTACTGTCAAGTAGTATTACTAAACGCTATATTCATCTTAGAACGCTGCCTTCATGGAGTCGAGGAAAGTGTGAGTTTTAGTCAATAGTAAGGCTAGGAACATTTCTGATGTAAATAGTCATCGAGAAGGATAAGCTATGCGAAAGCATATGAAAATGCCATGATGTTCACCAGCATTATATAAACCACGCAAACTTCCGTGGCAGTTACAGATACAGATTTTATATCTGTACTTGTTCTCATGAAAAGCCACACTAGTGGATGAGACGCGATGTCAATACATACATACATACATACAGATCCATCACTTTAGTGATGGATCACGGACGTTCATGCATCAACTCAGCTCTATGTCGGGTTTCATTCATACATGCTATAGTTTCACCCATGTCTGCTATTAATAGAAGCTCCCCTTGGCAACACAACTATTCGCGTTCCCTAGCAATAACGCATTGCGTTGAATGATGCCCAGACGCCAAGCAGAAAGCATGCATTTTCTACGCTCTGACGCCCGCTCATCAATGGGCCATTTTTCATGCTAACAACCGTGACGATATTCGGACCGATTAGGTCTATTCACTGCGCTTTTTTTCTATGGGGAATGGATGGGCCGAGGAAGTGTGAGCATTAGTCAATAGACAGACCACGGACATTTATGATGTAAATATTCATCGAGGAAAATAAGCTACACGACAGCTTATAAAAATGTCAGGACGTAGCAAGGCTATAGAACTCCGGACGTAGAAGAAATTCATGCATGAAAGCGTGGCAGTTGGAGTTGCAAGGCACCTGCAAAAACAGCCAACAACGCTACTCTCGAATGAAAGTATTGGCAAACCTTCTTCAAAGTAGGCATCACATGCTACATATTCTCCTTATTTCACAGCACGCAATCAGCCTCCAACAAATTTGTTACGAGCTCGTCTTTTCGGAAACGTTTACGGTTACTACAACATTTTTGGAGAGTGGCGAACAATTTATAAACATCCACTGGCCCGGTAACAGGCAAGAATATTCGGACATACACACTTCACAGTCGTGGCCCAAGAAAGATCAACCTCTCACCTGAAAGATTAGTTTCCATGGCTGAATGCGCTTTAATTATTCTCATCGTGCTGGCGAAACGACTCACGTAATAGCACGAGAGGGAAACGGCACCTCTGCAATTTCCGTCATTTGCTCTGAAGCACTCTGACGGAAAATTTAGAACAGAAGCATGTGAGAACCTTACGGGATTTGATTCCGAGCCTGGGGTTTGATGTGCAAATAGCCATCTGCACTCAACTTAGTGTGACAGGGTTCACCGCATACGAAAGAGTGCATAGCGGAATATAAATTATGGAGAGCATGAACAAAGTAAAATATGCAGAGACATGCTAAGTTGGCATGAAAGTGGAAGCGATTCGAAGAATGTGCCAAGTAACTCCCAGGGAACCAAGTTATTTTAGCCTCAGAACTAACACTTTCTCACGATCCATGACCCAACTGTCTCGCCGAAGGCAAAAACAGAGCGTGAAACATGCATGCAGATATCTTTTCTGACATGCTGATTTACTAAGTGGCTTGTCTCGTCAAAAATACCAGACTCTGGTATTAAAACACACTCATTCATTTTAATATGCCTCGAAAAGAAGAACATGAATAACCTTCTTGCCCATTTTCTCGTTTTCAGTGCATAATGTACCGAATGTGCGCGTCTGGTGAGGCAATTTGGTCAGTTTCCAGCAGCAATAATTAAGATAAAGTATCAAATTCTGCCACCATCGCTGGGTACGTGGCCTACCTTTACCACACGTTGTAAATGGGCGAGGAAACTGGATTATTTGGACGATCGGAGCACGGGTGAATGTATGCGTGCACGTACTGCTGTTAAGAGAGGGGAGGAAGATGAAATGAAATGAGGGAGAGAGAGAAAGAGAGGAAAAGAGGGAGTAAGGGAGAGATGAAGATAGCGAGGGGAGAGAACGGAAGATAAAGGGAGAGAGAGAGAGAGAGAGAGAGAGAGAGAGAGAGAGAGAGAGAGAGAGAGAGAGAGAGAGAGAGAGAGAGAGAGAGAGAGAGAGAGAGAGAGAGAGAGAGAGAGAGAGAGAGAGGACGGGGGAGAGACGGCATTGGTTGCATGGAGTGTTTTGTCAGAATGTTTTATTACTTATTTTCGTATCCTCGAGTGCTCTGAATGAGGAAACTCGACAAGAGAGATGTATACAACAGATAATTAGAAAAGTTGCACACAAAGTGCAATTATGTGCTTCTGTGTGCATCGTTCTAGGGACGGTACAAAATAACGTGGGCTGAAAACAGATATCATTCGCATAGAAATGAGGGCGGGGAAACATCAACATTTACATGATTGAATTTTTGTAATGATTTTTTTTTTCAAGCAAGATTCAGCAACGTAACATGCAAGCGACCCATGTGTGTACGATGCCAAGCAGCTCCGTTGAGTTGCCTATGTTGTTCGCATTTTTGTCATATGATGTGTTCTTTAGATGGCATACTATTTAAAGTCAATTGATGGGTCTAGCTTAGTTGTCATTACTTTTCAATACAACCAGTAAAACGCCTTTTGGGCGAAGAACGAGCGAGCGAGATAGTGAGCCCTGCACGTGCGGAAGGGCGAGAGGGTGCTTCCAACGGGCTTGTGCAAAGCACCCTTCTAACCGGTCGCTAGCGGTGTGCCAAATTTGAACGCAATCGGCCCAGCCGTTCCTGAGATCTGGAAGCGGCATTCTGCACGTGCGCACGTGCAAACGGGGTCCAAAATGACTTTTGCACGGCACCCTACTAACTGGTCCCCAACCGTGTACCAAATTTGAGCGCAATCGGCCCAGCCGTTCTCGAGATCTGGAAACGCCCCGTGCACGTGCGCACGTGCAGTAGCACCCTAACCGCAACA